TATAAAAATAATACCCATGCATATATATTTATTATAGATAAGCTAATGTATATACTGTATTAAAAACATTCTTTGTAAATCTAGGCTCCAGACTTAGGCCCATCATTGATGGATGAATTTTTGAAGGCTCTGGGCTGTACAAATTCTGAAGAACTTTTTGACTGTAATTTGGATGGTGCAGCAGGACGTAACAATATTTTTGAGAGCTTGGATGAAACCAGTCACAATTCAAATGTGGATGTTTTATCTTTAGATGTAGATACAGTAGAGTTGCCTAAAGCTGCAAATAGAAACAAAATTAACGATAGTATGTTTGGAAGAGAAAGTAAGAGGAGCAACTCCTTGAAGGAACAGCAAAGTATAAAAAAGGAGTTAAAACTGAGAACTATTTCAGCTTCAGATGCAGAGTCTTTAGAATCAGCCATAGCCATGGCCAAGAAACTAGCTGAAGAAAGTACATTTGGCATTGATTCTGACCCTCAAGATCCTGTCAATCAAGAGAGTCCCAAATCTCCAATCTCACCTGTGAAAAAGAAGTTTTCTTTTAGGCTCAAAATTAGTCCTAAAGCTGAAAAAAGGAATTTCAGTTCTGAAACTGAATGTATTCAAGATTTGAAATTAAGTGATGAAGCTCAGGATGTATACCATTCTGTTGTTGATAATGGACAAGGGATAAAACCCAGTGGACCCACTTCTTCCAGCCCCATCTTTGAACCAGTTGCAACCCAGCCACAAGTGTCTGCCATTTGTCATCAGTCTACTGTAACCATTCAAGATAATCATCGCCATTATCAGTCTCAGAACAGAGACAATCAGTTGGCATCAAGACTCTCCAAAAATAAAGATACGTCAAATTTGGAAGAAACGCCAGAGTCCAACCCACTAAGAATGCTTCGAAAAGGAGGTCTTGTCCAGCCAAAAGTGCGTGGCAATAAACACCAAAGTACTCCCATTCCATCCAAAGGAACAACGTCACGTTCATTTGTGGGTTCCAGGTCTATGGCCAGTGCACACGATGAGCAATGCAGCACATTATCAGTTTCCCCTCCTCTTCCTCCTGTCAGGTCCACGATGCCATCCTCACCAGCATCTAGTACATTACCAAAGCCACAGAGACACAATTCTTGTTTGGATGAACAAAGAGAAACCAAAGCCAATAGCTCTCCTGCTAGCAGTTACTCTGAAAAAAAAACAAAGTTTCCATCCAATGAAGGTCCACCATTACCCCTTCCAAGATCAGGAATCAGTATTTCATCCCTTTCTAGACTGCATCAGCGCAAGCATCCTCTTATTGCCAATGAAGAAAATGAAACGAAACCATTGACCTCCTTATCTAAACAGCAATCACTTACAGAAGTTTCCAGATCAAGAAATGACAACTTTTCACATGGTAAACCTAATAAAGATTGTGATAAGAGCTTTAACACAATGACTGAGAGTGCATTAGCTGATCCAAAAGATGAGTCTACTCCTACCACACCAGAACCTTTGAAGACTTCAAGGACCTATAGGTTTGTTGAGTTAAAGGCAATTCAAAGATTTGATTAATTAATTTTTTGCTTGTTTTGTTTTTTCTAGTTAATAATTCAAGGTTTGAATCACATTAAAGAACAAATCCAAAGCATCAGTCTAATTTTAATATACTGGGAAAAAGTTGACGACTCTACATGTTTCGACATTACAGCATCATCCTCAGGAGTGACATGTAGTGTCATCAACTTTTTGAAGGCCATAGATAGGCCTAAATAAAATGTTTTTAATTGTGTACCAGTTTAACGTTGAATATCATTTCTGATTTTAAGGTGTATATTGTTAGTGTTTGGTAAAGATGTTCCCGCAAAAGCTCGTATGGAAATTATGTTTATCCCTTGTTTTATAACCGTCAAAGAAATGACCAAGCGTATAATGTTTACAGATCTAATGCCTTGAAAATGCTATTTCTTCTGATTTATTAGATATAATAAACAAAAACCTCTTGAAAATGATTGAATAAACCACAGAACTTACATAAAATGTAATGTTTTTTTTTAAACTTTGGTTTTCATTTTCTTCTTTCAAAAACCTTGTAATGTCTTAATTACACTTGTAATTTAAGTTGTTCGTGCATCTTTATATTTTCCCTTGATATGAATAATAGCACCTCCGACAGTCTATCAAATACATCTGGAGACTCTTCACCAGTGGAAGTTCAAAGGACAGATAAGCATGTAAGCTGTGAAGATTTGATGGGATTTGCTCTTGACAAACCAAATGCTAAGAGGTAAATATTCTGTAAATCATTTCATATGCAGGGATGTGGGCGGGAGGGGGGTGTTAAGCATTGGAGAATGAGTCTGTGATTTCCCACTCAAGGCTGCCAAGTTATTTCACTAACTTACAGGTGATGTTTAAAACCTCATTGCCTCTATCGATCTCTTCCCAAATTGCTTCAAAGTACTCTTAAGGCCAGTTATATGATGAATTTTTTTACATTCTATTTGTGAATAAACATTTGAGATGATGAAAATTGAACTATAAGCTAGCCAATGCTGTTGAAAGGACAAAATTAACAAATTTACAAGTTAAAGACAAGCCGAATTCTGCTGGCTCAAAGTCGGTTCCTTTTCTGCTTTATTCGATGCATTACAAACTATAATCAAAATAAGCCATAGGCAGAGTTTGTAGTATGCATTAATATTTTGTACGTAAGCCCTTTGCTTTATACAGAGAATTAATATTTACTTAGAGCACTTTTAAACAATTTTGGTTTTCTACCTCTACCACTATTAACAGTACCAGTTTCACATACCCTCACCAAAGTTTTGGCATACAGCTTCTACTGAATTAGGAGTTTCGCTGGAATTTTTCACGTGGAATGTCTTTGACTAACCAGAACTTTTGACTTTTACATGCTTATCATGTGGAATTTCGGGTATGACTAGATTCACACTATTATTGTTGGTTATAGTATGATTGCCTGTACTTTTATAGGCTTTATACAGGTGTGGCACTTTCTGATTGGTTGAATGATAACCAGTCACAGTGTAAACTATTAACTATTAGTTGTGCTTTGCTGCAGTTCATTTTTACATTCTAAGGAGATTGAACTTCCATAGTATTTCCTTTTATACGCCTTTTTGCTCATCATTTCCATAATTATTTCCAATACTGTTATAAACACATTATATATATATATATTAACTATTTTTAAAGCAACAAACAGTTTGTTTAGGGTAGTTAGTCAAACTTGGCTTAACTTGCAATCTGTTACTAGCATGGGAATAAAAAGGTTTCTTCACTTTTCAATACAATATCAAATGTAACAACTAGGGTTTTAGAACTGTAAGCCTTTCTTTGTGTTACATATAATTGTATTTTAAATTCAGTATATTGAAAGTTGAACTATAATGAAGTTTAAAGAAGAAAAAAGCTTAAACTTTTAATTTAATGGAAGGATGAAACTGACAAAGAAAAGCATCTAGACAAAAAAAAAAGAAATTAAGATACTATTACTATGTAAAGATCAAGACTTGAGAAAACATTATTATTTTCTGATGATTGGAAATGGCTTGAATGTTTTGTGATTTATCAACTATGTAGACTGAACTGTGGTTATTTTTTTATTTATCTTGTAGAACACAAGGACGAGCCAGAGGATCTGATTCAGATGAAGTGCATATCATGCAGAAGGTTTTAAAAGACAAAGTATGTTACTAATTTCTTTGTTTATAAACAAACTTGTATAATTTTTTTAACTTCCTTAAACTTTGTAACATTTCTCTAACTTAAAAAAAGAAAGTAATTATCCAGTCGGAGGAAACAATGTGATTCTTAAACGTTTTTTTTACCCTTCTCTTTGAATATATTGTTACGTCT